ATTTCCTCATCAGCCTCACCTCAGACATTGACCTCAAGCCTTGTTTTGACCGAGGCTTCCCAAGAGCCTGAAGCAAATTCCTGGACCCGACAAAACCCTCTTTTGTTAATTGGTTCGTGACTCTCTGAGACTCCTTGCCAAGTTCCGCAGATATCGGCCTGGCAGCTCTCCAAGCCAGATAAGGTCTGTGACCATAAATCCTCCCTCGAAAGACTTTGCCGGATGTGAAGGAGCAGAATTCACACCCAATTAACAAAAGAGGGTTTTGTCGGGACCAGGAATTTGCTTCAGGCTCTTGGGAAGCCTCGGTCAAAACAAGGCTTGAGGTCAATGTCTGAGGTGAGGCTGATGAGGAAATGAGATAAATTTGCATTTCTCTTAAGTCTTTTCTATCCTGAAGGTTTTAAGAAATCTAGAAGGGATTAAGCTGTGAGTCACAATGTCTGGGCCCGAAGGCTTCGGGTGTTGCCAGGAAGCGTTCTAGCGCTCTCATAATTCACAATGAGACGGTCAAATTCCGCAGTTCTCTTCAGATTCAGGATTTGTCAACCCTGCCCCCAAACCTTACCTGTCCTTAACCTACCGGCTGATTCTGCGGGCAGAGAAACTCCTGCCAATCGCGCTTCTTCCCTCCCCAGGAAGTGAAAGGTTACCAGAGGAAGACATGGAAGGCGTTCCTATGCCACTCGGTCTCCGTGCTCACTCTGGGGCTCCCTCTCGTCATCTTCCACTGGAAGCCACACCTGGAAGTCTACGCCAAATGCACTCCCTGCCCCTTGCGCCAGGCAGACTGGGTGCTCATTCGAGTAAGTGCCAGAGGGCAGGGCAGGAGGGCTCCAGCCAGTTCGGGCACTACAGCAGGCCCCTGAGCGGCCCCTGGCAGGCTTTGGATCAATCTCCTCCTCTCCCCAAAGTCACTGTCTCTTCCCCGGGCAAGAGGCCCTTCTGCTTTCAGCTGTTCCCGCCTTCTTCTTTCCAGGATCAGCTGGGACGGTGTTTCGCGGCCAGAGTCCAAACAGAGCAGATCGAAGATGGCAGGTGAGCAGCGCTTCCTGTGCATTTCCTTGATTGGCAGAAGGTGTTGAAGGGGCTGGGGGGGGGGAGGACGTCAGTGGCTGCACCTGGAGTCGGCAGGGAGCGAGAGAGTGCCTTCTGTCAAGAGGGAGGCCAACCAGGTAGTTGGTGCAGGTAAGAGGAAGGATGGGGATGTAGACTTAGATGCATCCGTCTGCCCTTCACACCCCCGGCTCCGGAACTCCCTCACCAGCTCAGGTGCCCTGGTTCTGGAGCCTCCTCCAGGGACCACCTTCCTGATTTCCGAAATTTCTTCTCCCTTCCTTTCTTCCTGGAAAGCCTCGAATCCAGATCAGACGAGGGGAGAAGCGCTATTGCCGTGGGTGTTTCGGATGACCAAGCGAGAAGCCAGGACACCATACAGCTGCACGAGAAGGAAGAGGTCAGCACCCCCTGGCTCCATTCTGAGTGGCTTACCAATGGGGTCCCCTGACGAGGCCTCCCTGCAGAGGGGCACATCTTTCTGAAGGCAGGCACAGCCCCAGTACTTTGGGGTACAGACTCCGTCCCCACCCTGGCACAAAGCAGGCTGGGTAGGGGGAGCTCTTCCGGCCAGGGCCAGCTGCTGCTGGTGCTGCTGCCACCTTGGAGACCTTGATAACTCTCCTCCCTCTCCTCTCCTCTTCAGAAAAACATTCTTCGTTATTACGCCTTCGAAGGTGTGCACTACCTCTGGGTGGAAAGGCGGCAGGCCTACTGCAAGGCCAGGTGAGGAGAAGTTCTCCCAGCTCTGCATTTTACTGGCATCTTGTCATAGATTGTTGGGGGGGGGGAGAGGAAGGGGGCAATTGGCATGTGGAGAGTAGAAATGAGAAGGGGGTTGTTGTGGCCCACTGGAGCTGGCAACAGATTTGGGCAGTGAGGAGGTTGGGGAGGAACATGGGGCAGGGCTCTGTGTCGGAGGCAGAGAGAGGGGCAGGGCCGTATGCCAGTGATCAGCTGCCTTCGCAGTCAGACATCAGTGAGGCAGAAGAACAGCTGGAGCCTGTTCCCAGTGTGCGTGCATGCCGAGAGTGGCCAGACGAAAGGAACAGCTAAAGAACAGGGGCCGACTTGGGAGTAAGGCCACAGGTGGACGATGAATGGCCCCTCCCAGAGGGAATAAAGAGGAGCGACAGGGGAGTGGAGTTTGCAGGAGACAATTAGTTCATTCCTGCATTCTTGCCAAGTATTATGGGCGGCTGAAAGGTATCGGCCTGGCCACTCTCCAAGCCTGATAAAGGTCAGTAATTGAAGAGCTATCTTGAAAGACTGTGGGAGAGGAAAGACTTGGCTGGAGAGGAATTCACTGTCAATTAAATAAAAGAGGTTTATCAGGGCTCGGACTCTGCTGCTGGGGAACCCTAGGTGAGAATAGGGCCTCTCTGCAGAATGCTTTCCTCGGATTTAGCTGTGGGCCTGACCAGTCCCGGCTAGCCTAACCGGCCTCTGGACCTCCAGATTTTAATATGTCGGAGAAGAAATGCAACCCGTCCCCCTTTCTTTCTCTGTGTTTCTGCAGCACGTTGAATGAAGGCTGGATGTGTTCCGATCTCCGTCACTCCTGCGGGGGCCTGAGCGTCGAGGAGCAATCTGCCAGGCACGTCCCGCCCTTTAGGGAAAGGGTATTTCTCTTCTTTAGCACTGTAGTAACCTGATTTTTTTGCAGAGGGATTGTTTGAAAAAAAAAAAGATCTTGCAAGGCCACCTTCCTTCATTCCCTTCTTGCTTTCTACTTCATTTAAAAGGAGAGTTGTATTCAGGCCTTGTTAAAAAGGCTTAACGTCTCTTAGTCGAGCTGCGCAAAATCCACCAGCCGTTCCCTGTCGGTGGCCTCGCTCTTCCAGCACAGTTGTGGGGTACAGCTTGCTCCAAGGGGACTGGCATAGTCTCCTTCCCTACATCAGGCTCACAGAATGAGCCATGGTGGGGCAATGGTTAAATGTGGTAAAGGTAAAGGTTCCCCTCGCACATATGTGCTAGTAGTTCCTGACTCTAGAGGGTGCTGCTCATCTCCATTTCAAATCCAAAGAGCCAGCGCTCTCCGAAGACGTCTCCGTGGTCATGTGGCCGGCATGACTCAATGCCGAAGGTGCACGGAACACTCTTACCTTCCCAACAAAGGTGGTCCCTATTTTTCTACTTGCATTTTT